AAGGGGTTCCAAACCAGTGTAGTTATGCCATAATATTATTGGTGGTGATGGCTCATTATGTCACTGATTTTTCAGTGAAGGGAAGTTTTAGCAGTTAAAACAAATGGTTCTTATTTGACATTTATTAAGGTGTTTTTTATATATTGAGGTATGTGTTACTGAGGTATTTATATGGTCAGAATATAACATTTACTTGTGATAGTGGGAATTTAGATTTTATTGCATATACGTCTGTTGGAATTCAAAATAGTAAACCCTAGCCATCCAGAGAGCAAGTAATTAGCAAAAGAAAGAATTACCACCCTACCTGCTATTTTCATTCTTTTTATCTAGTGTTAGCTCAGATTTCATTTCTATGCATCCTCTCCTATGCCTTGTTTCTTACCCAAAGATATCTAATTCTTGCCTTTTCTCTGTCCTCTTGGTATACATGTTAAAGTTGGTTTCTTACACATTTATCTTCCTTCTAGATGGTAAGTTCTCTGACTGCGGGGCTTCCACTTTGTCACCTTGGTGTTCTAGTGCTTAAGCACTGCACTTGACTGACAGTTAATAGATGCTCGGTAGTTAACTATGTGGAGAATGGGGGAGACACTAGGTTGTATATCTAATAGTAACTGAAATTATAAAACAATATTTTGCAGGAGTAAATAATAGAAATATAGACTATTGAGGTGTTTGTTTATAAAAAGTTTTTCTGAAACCAAGATTGGCCTGATTATATAATTGTGATAATATTTAGTGAGCTAATACCTCGTGCAGAAACTATTCTAAGTACTTAACTTGATTTTTAAATTTAATACTAAAATTAAAAATTATTTTAATATTTAAAGATGGGTACTTAATTAATGTATATATTTTACAGATGAGGAAACTGAATTTAAATAATTTGCCCAAAGAAATGCAGCTAATAAAGTGGTAGGCTGGGAGAATAACCCAGGTAATTTGCTTATAAAACCAAAACTCAACTACTTCCTTAAACCTGCTTTTACTGCTAGACTCTCTTGGCTTGAGGGCATTGTTGACTATAAAAGACAGTTTATAAAATGTAAGTAAGTTTTTAATGAAATAAAGTATAACATTGTATCCTGAATTTATATAAGTTACTTTAACAATTGTGTTTATTTCTCATAGAGGATCTTCGAAAGTATGTCACTACTATGGTTTGTGTGGCGGTGAATGGTCATCCTGTCCTAGGAGTAATACATAAGCCATTTTCTGAATATACAGGTAAGAAATATGTCAGACTAAGAGTTAATGTTATTAAATCATTTGCCTGTAGTACTTACTATCCTGTCAGAATCTCAGCTGTTGCTCAGTAATTATTAGAGTCAGTCCCCTACCCTACCTCACCCCTTCACTGGGTACAGTGAAGATTTTATTGTTGGTACTCAGAATAAATGACAAAGCAGGGCTACCTAAACTTTCCTTAGAGGATAGACACTGTTTAATGAAGATGAGAGATTCTTAGTGTATTGAGGAATACAGCTAGTACGGACTCACCAGCTGCTGAGGTCCTGGGCTCTTACACATTGGATTCTGTGTGAATTCTGAGGTCCACCCTGAAGTGGCCTTAGCAAAATCTGTTACTAGGAAATGAGCTTGATCTTGTAGTGGTTAAAGGTAATGCCAACCTCAGCATCAAAAATGGATGGTGTTACTGTGAAAATCTCAATAGGCTAATCCCTTTGTAGCCCCAGACTCCCTTCAGAACTCCTTCTAACCCTTGCTTCCCCACCTTCTGGCTGCAGCCATGTTTGTTAGCTTCCTGCAGATGTCAGGTCAGATCCTCGATGATCATGTTGAAGGTGAGAGTATGGAAGACCATGCCAAAGAGCCCATTCAGTTTAGGAGTGAACCTTGCCCAAAACCTTACCAGTGCTACTCAGTTCTGGAATGACATTTTGGTATCACTGCAGCTGTTATGCTGCAGTTTGCCTGTCTAGAAAGGCTAGCCATGGTCTTAAGTCCACAATGAGACCATGATTTGTCGTAGTGGAGAAGTTGAGGGAAACAATTAGTAGTGTAAGCAATATTGCTGACAATCTGAAGGGAATTGTCATACTTTTCGTTGGTAACTCCCATAAAAAATGCAGGGCAAGGATCATGCAGATGATGAACTCGTTGATGGTGAGCGTATCCTCTTTGGCAGTGTTGAAAGCTGCCCTAATAACCAGGTTTAGTAGGTTGAATAATGTCCCCCTCAAATTCGTATTTACCCCTGTATTTCCTAGGACTGCCATAAAAACAAACCAGAAACTGTGTCTTTAAACAAATTTGTCTGTCACAGTTTTGGAGGCTAGAAGTCCAAAATCAAGGTGTTGGCAGAGCTATGCTCTCTGAAACCTGTAGGGGAGAATCCTCCGTGTTTTTGTCCTAGCTTCTGGCAGTTTGCAGACAGTCAATCCATGGTGTCCCTTAGTTTGTAAACACATCACTCCGATCACTGCCTCCATCATCTCATGGCATTCTCTTTGTGTCTCTGTGACTGTTTCTCTTTTCTCCTTGTAAAGACGCCAGTCATGTTGGATTAAGAGCCTTCCCTACTCCAGCATGACCTCATTTTAACTAGTCACATCTGCAAGTACCCTTTTTCCAAATAAGGATGGTTTCTGAAGTGCTGAGTGGGGTAGGACTTCGACATACCTTTTGGGGGAACAAAATTCAGCCCATAACAACGTGGACTTCAGAATGTGACCTTATTTGGAAATAAGGATATAATTAAGGTAAATATCAAGGTGAGATTATCCTGGATTAGGGTGGGCCCTTAAAGCAATGAGAGTGTCCTTATAAGAAATAGGGTACACAGACGCACAGGATAAGTGATGTGAAGGTGGAGACAGATTGGAGTGATTCATATCAAGGGACACAAAGAGTGCTGGCAGCCAGGAGAAGCTGGAAGAAAGGCTGCAAATGGATTCTCCCTTAGGCCATTCAGAAGGAGCAAACCCTGCTAACATCTTGATTTGGGCCTCTGTCCTCCAGACTGAGAAAATAAATTTCACCTACCATAAGGATAAAGTTTGTGGTAATTTGTTATAGCAGCTCTAGGAAACCAGTACACCAGGCATCCATACAATTCTCTTGCTTACTCCAGCATCTCTATTGTGTCTCAGTGGTGTGGCTGGCACTGCATAAAAGACTGTATATAAAGTGGAGAGAAATAGACATAAGGTTAAGCTTTGATTAAATTTATTTGCTTTGTAGAATAACCTTGTGTCCCCAGTTCTGCCTGCTCTAAGATAGGCTGAACATATGACTATTGGCTCTGCATTTCAAAGCAAAATCTACTTTGTGGTATCTCACGTTTTATTTCATTTTTATAATTCAAATAGTTTTTAAAGTTGACAGTTTGTTGAGCTACAAAAGGTTGATATCATTACTGTGACATAGATTAATTATATAATTGCTTTATGGTTTATGGATTGCTTTCACGTATTTTCTTTAATACTTACTGAATTAGTTAGGATACAGATTAGGCTGATAATTTAGGATGCTGTAATAATATGCACCAAAATACAGGAGGTTGAACAAAACAAGTTTATTTCTTTCTTCCTAACAGCCTATGTATAAGCAGCTCAGGGTTGCCCTGACAGCTCCCTGGTACCAGGGCCACAGGCCGTTCTCTCATGCTGTTTTGCTGTTGTAGAATATATTGCTCTTCTCTGTGTGACTAAGGGTGGCTCACTGCCTGATCCACATTCCACCAGAGGTGAGGGTAAAAGGGAGACTTGGAGGACATTTCCCACTGAGGGTTTGGCTTATAAATTTCACACATCAGGTCTCATCCCATTGATCAAAACATAGCTAGAATGCAGCCTCAAGGGAGGCTAAGAAATGTAGGTGTTATTTTCAGTGGCTGTCCAAGCTACAATTTAGGGATTCTGTCACTCAGGGAAAATAGGAAAAGTGGATATTGGAGTATAATTTAGCAGTACTAATACACTTAATATAGCTTGTGAGTGAGGCACACAATTACTATTAGTATTCCTACTTAGAGATGAGAAAAGGAGACTCCGAAAATTGATACACTCCTCAAGCTCATCCTGCTAAATTAGAGGAAGAATCAACCCAGGAATTTTATGCAAATCAGTATAGCACATCACTTATATAATAATAGTTCCATGATTACTAACATTTATATGGCATTTAGCAATTTGCAGTATACTTAATGTTACTTCATTTGAACCTTTTGATAAGTGTGACAAGGAAAAATGTTAATGTCTTTTATAGATTAAAAAAAGGGCTTTACCAGCTCTTACCATGAAAGCCATACATTTAAAAATGTCACTGTAAGAGCTAACTCCTATTTTTAACATTTCACATTGGTTTAGTATTTTTACAGTTTATGAAATGTATTGACATAAATTCACTTCAGCCTCAACATAACTCTGGAGAGAATATAAAATAGGAATTGTAGTGACAGTGACTTTTTAATAAAAAGGAAAACAGGCTATAAAAGTTAAGTGCACTGTTTAAGTCCTTGAAGACCTCTCATTCTTTGACAAGGCCCTACATTACCTCTTCTGTCAGGACTTCATTTAGCTGCATATAAAGTAAATCTGATTACAGTGGTTAAACAAGTAAGAGTTTCATTTGTTTCACCTAATAAGGCGGCCAAAGGATAGGGATGGTTTAGTGGCTTTATGATACTGTTAAGTTGACTTTTCTGTTTTTGCTTTTTTCTTAGAAGATGGCTTTTTATTTGCATGCTCAGAGATAGTTGCTTCCCGTTTCCATGGGTCTGTTCTAGGAAGAAAGAGGAAAGAAGACAGACAAAAGACCTGTGCAGGCCATTCTTCATATTAATCTGAGCCCTCTGCTTCATCTCATTGGCCAGATGTCACATGACACGCTTAGCTACAAACAAAGCCTGCTACTTCAAAGAGAGTTAGAACTGTAATAAAGGGAACGCAGAGGAAATTGGTATCAGATAGGCAAATAGATTCACATTCTTTGGGCCCTAGTTTCCACATCTGTTCATTTTAGGGGGGGAAATCAGGATAGAAAAATGCCCATTTGGAAAAACAACTTTATTTTATAAAAATATGTATCATAGGCTTACCTTGCTTAGAATAAAAAAGCCAAAAATCTCTAACTTATAGGAATAAACCGTGTTCCAAAAATATCTTTGTAAGTTACTAATAAAGTGCCCTGTTCTTTGGTGATCTAGCTTTCTTGCCCAGCATACTGGAACATAAGGTGCTTGCTAGTCAGCAAGTATCCAGAATAATCAATAGTCCTCAGTGAGGGTGGGTTGACCTTCCATTCTTGGATTGAAGGTCTGTTTGGTGAGCCCTGTTCTTGGGCTGTCATTTTCAGATCCAGACTGTATATCGATGCTGGCAGAGTACCAACCGTGAAATACTGTATGTTTACCGGAATTTAGCAACAGGACTATAATGAACTGGAGGTGGGTATTATTGGCAGCAGGTAGAGCAAAGCAGATCAAAATTCTTATCAGATTTTATTAGAATTCATTTACTGAGTTTGAAATGCTTAGAAGCAAGAGATTTTTGTAGTATTTTAATGAAGTAGTGTGTAAATGTCTAAGTGTAGTATAGTATATTCACACAGTGATAATTTGTGGCTATTAAAAATAAGTCATAGCCCTAGCTGGTGCGTCTTCGTTGGTTGGGTGTCATCTGGTGAACCAAAAGGTTGCCTGTTTGATTCCTAGTCAGGGCACATTCCCTGGTTCCCAGCTTGATCCTCCGTAGGGGGCATGTAGGAGGCAGCTGATCTGTGTTTCTTTCTCACATCAATGTTTCTCTCTCTCCCTTCCTCTCTCTCTAAAAAAAAAAGTTATAATGTCTGAAGTCTGTGTAGCAAAGTACCAATCACTTTTTACTTCCTGTTGGACTTGTGTTTTTTTTTAGCATAACTTACTGAGAGAATAAACACATTCTGTTAGCTGTTGTTTTACCTTATCACTATTATATCACCATCATCAATCATCATTTATTTAAGTACCTACTGTATTTTTTAAGGTGATTGAAATGATTTTTCCCATAGAAATGTTATGACTAAATGTATTGAGTTTATGTAATATGAAATATATTTTTTTTAATATTAAATTAGTAACTTTCATCTAAGATTTTTGTGGTACTATCGACTGAGATAATGCTGTCTTTCTTCTCTTACACAATACTGACCTCTAGAGAGATAGCATTGTAAATTCTCTTCTAAGTTAAATCATATTTTTGGATCATTTCTAAAAAAATTTTAGAGGATTTTTAGTTTTTTCTTCTCAGTTCTTTTTTAAACTTTTATTATGAATAATTTCAAACATAAAATTATAATAAATTTTTATATACAGTAGTCTCCCCATATCGCAGTTTCACTTTCTGTGGTTTGGTTACCTGAGATCAACCACAGTCCAAAAATATTAAATGGAAAGTTCCAGAAATAAACAGTTCATAAATTTTAAGTTGCTCTCCCTTCTGAGTAGTGTGATGAAATCTCATGTTGTCCTGCCCTGTCCCACCCAGGATGTGAGTCATCCTTTTGTTGGTCCTATATGTATATATGTATGTATCTTAGTTACATATTAGACATACAGTATAAAAAGGGTTCTGTACTACCTGCAGTTTCAGGCCTCCTGTGAGGGTCTTGGAATGTACGCCTGGCAGATAAGAGGGGGCTGCTGTACTCCTTTATCTAGATTTAACAGTTGATAACATTTTTATATATTTGCTCCCCCCCCTCCCCCTTTTTTTTTGCCTTTGTACTTTACAGAAAATTACAGGATCATGACATTTTACCCTAATGTACTTCGGTATGCATCTCTAAAAAAGAATATGTTTTTTCTACTAAGAACAGAGCTATTTATATAATAATAAAATTAAAAATTATTATTTAATTGATCCAGTATTCACATTTCTCTGAATTGTTCTAAAGTGAATTTTACAGCTGGTTGCTTCAAACTAAGAGCCAGTAAAGTGACAAGCATTTCTTTTGGTTACATTCTCTTAATCTAGAACAACGTCCAGCCCCCTTTTTCCCAGTGCACTGACTCCCTGAGAAGACCAGGTCAGTTTTTATAGAGTGTTCGTCCTTTTGGATTCTTCTCTTTCCTCAGGGTATCATTTAACATATTTGTGCATCTTTTTTTTTTTTTTTTTTTTTTAAAGTAACAATTAGTTCTAGAGCCTTAATTGAATTAAAGTTAGCATTTTTGTCAATTGTAGCCCTGGCTGGTGTGGCTCAGTTGGGCGTTGTGCTGCCCACCAAGAGGTTGCTGGTTCGATTCCCAGTCAGGGCACACACCGGGCTGCAGGCTTCATCCTCATTAGGGGGTGTGCAGGAGGCAGCCAATCACTGTTACACTCTCACATCCATGTTTTTCTCTTCTCCCTTCCTCTCTCTCTAAAACATCAGTAAACTATCCTTTTAAAAAAAGAACACATTGTAGATATTCTTCGTGCACTTCCTACTGCATAGTATTACATGACATATAATGTCTTGTCATCATCCTAAGATGTGTTGTACATCATCCAGTATGTTATTAAGACTTCACTTTTGGTTTCCTCTCTTCTCCAAGCCTCCTCTTCTCACTGCTCTACCAAGTTTCAGGCCTACTTTCAGCAGTTCTCATTTTAGAAGAGACCTTTTCCTTCTGGGAATAAATTCTGGCTGACCTACTGTCACCACTGAGATTCTCTGACCTCTTGGTGCTTCCATGAAGCTCCTGCCGTATTCTCCACACGGGTCAGAGGCAGCACTGATTCAGCTGATCTTTGATATTTATTCCCCTTCTTATATATTTGGGTTGATAGCCATCCTCTCTTTTACTTATAGGCATTGAGTAAGGGTGTTTGTATTTATTCTCCTTGTTGCTATGTAGGGTTTTTAGAAAGAAGTGTGAAAGAGTCCAGGAGGCTGTCATCATCCTTGGGGAACTCAGAAACCTGGATCTGTTAATTTTTTTTTCTTTTTCTTTTTCTGCAGCCAAGAATATGTAGTAATGCAGTTGCTTTCATTGCTAGCTGTGGTTAACTATATTTTATCCCATAGTGAGTGACTGCTAGAACCACAATCTAATTGGGATAATTCTGAGTAAGTTTGTTTTCTTGTATAGATTGGGAGACAGTGAAGAAAACTTCTAAACCAAGAAAAACATTTCAGGCCATCTCTGGAGTCTCCCCACCTTCTTAAAAACTTCTGTTTTGAAATCTAGAACTTTTTTTTAAATACTGTTTGACAAAGCAGATATCTAAATCTAACTCATCTCTTTAATAATTTTAAATTTTAAATTGTGCTTATTTCATAGGTTGTCAGGGATTGAGTTCTCCAGTAATCAAACTTTGAGATAGAGATTGGCATGCAGGATGTTTACTCAGGGTGCTCTTGGGCTTACATTTGTGGAAGGGAGGGAATGGAGCTGGCTTAGGTGCAAAGAGAAGTTGAGTTGCAGTGTGATCCCAGTGGACTCAGCTGCCACCCCACAGGGAGCTCTGGAACCTAGGAGTTCTTAAGCCAAGTGTTTAATAGTTATTACCTTTGGCTGGGCAGGATTATATGGCCTTTTTTAGCTTTGTATTAATATATGCCGATTTTAATGTAAAAACAAACAAACATATTTCTCTGTCCTCAGGAAAAAAAAAATTCAGCTTCTGTTTTAAAAAAATATATAAGTAACTGTGGAAAAGAATTTTTTTTTTCCGTCTCTTTTGGTACTTTGAGTTGTACTTTTTAAAACTTCAGTGCTCTTAATGGATATTATATTTGCTTTTCAGCTTGGGCAATGGTAGATGGTGGGTCTAATGTGAAAGCCCGTTCTTCCTACAATGAGAAGACCCCAAGGATCGTTGTGTCTCGCTCCCACTCAGGAATGGTCAAACAGGTTGCTCTTCAGACTTTTGGAAACCAGACTGCAATTATCCCGGCTGGTGGTGCTGGTATGTTTCTGCTCCCTTTTGATGCCTGTAAAGTGTTCCCAGCCAGGTCAAGGCTGATGTCAGGAGAGAGATTTGGTTGCCACATGCTTGGGAAGTAAATGCAAGTAGACAGTGTACTTTCAAGACAGGCATGGTCTCACTTCGTTATTTCTAGGGTAGGATTTCAGTTGTACATGCCTTCTTGATAGAAACAGTCTCCCAATAGAAACACAATTTCACAATAGTGATTTCTGTTCCTCGAATACTACAAAAGCATTATATATGATCTTATTTCAAAATAATTTTCCCATTAGTTTAACTCTAGGAATATCAGGGAGAGAAGAAAAGATCCAAGTACATTATGATGCTTTCTATCTGAGAAGGAGGCCAGGCAACACCATAAGTGTTGTTACAGTGGCTAATATCTGGATCACTTTTAACACCCCTGAAGCCCTCAGCTTGCATGTCTGGGATGAACAGAGTCTAGTGCCCACCCAGCTAGCTCAGTGCATATTCTGTACTATTGTATTGTCCGTGTTATAGGTCAGGGGTCAGCTGGCTTTTTTGAAAGGCCAGATAGTATATATTTTAGGCCTTGTGAGCTGCATATGGTCTATAATGCATGCTGGTCTTTGTTTTGTTTTTTAAATTACCCTTTCAAAATATAAAAATCATTTATAGCTTGAGGTCTATATAAAAATAGGCCATTGCCTGGATTTGGCTCATAGGCCATTTGTCCACCCTTGTTTTGAATACTGTTTAATATCATAAAAGTCTTTTAATTCATATAAATAGCAAATAATGGTCAGAAACATTTGTGTTTGAAAACCTTTTTAGCACAATAATAAAGGGGAAAATAATGCTTATTAACTTTTAAGCCAAATAGTTTTGGTTTACTGATTACATAGGTCTGCTTTTCTTAATATGACTTCATTATTTCTTACAGGCGCTCTGTTAGGTTGGTTGAGAAGGTTATTGGCTAAAGTACTCATTAGGAATGGGATAAACCAGTTTCTAGACCCAGTTTCTTCTGCGGTTGTCTTATTTTATTTTTAAATTCTGCCTCATTACAAAGAAGATATAAGATAGTAGTGTTATTTTTGTATTCTCTCAAATCCAGCCTTTCTAGATATTCAGGTGAAACTTGTGGGTGTTTAGTTTCAGTGTAATATTCCATAGGAAATGATATGTACTGAGTGTATTATTTCATAGAAAACAACCACAAAGTAGATATAAGTTTAAAATAGACATATATTTGGTTATACTTGAGAATAACTTAAGTTACTTTGCAGTATATTTTTTGTTCATTTGGGTTTAATGTCTGTGCTGTTATTTTGTTAGAAAAAACAACCTATTTTTAAATAACTTTAGATTTGGCAGTTGCAAAGATAGTACAGAGAGCACCTGCACACCCTGCGCTGTTATTTTTAACAGTGTGCTCAAAAAAGTAAGCTACTTTCTTTAAATCTTTCCAAGAGTAACCTAAATTCTTTGTTTATCTTTTAGGTTATAAAGTTTTAGCGCTCTTAGATGTGCCAGATAAGAGTCAAGAAAAAGCTGATCTATATATTCACGTGACATATATCAAAAAGTGGGATATATGTGCTGGCAATGCCATCTTAAAAGCCCTCGGGGGGCATATGACTACCCTGAGTGGTGAAGAAATCAGTTACACCGGTTCTGACGGCATTGAAGGAGGGCTGCTGGCTAGCATCAAAGTAAACCACCAAGCTCTGGTCAAAAAACTCCCAGATCTGGAGAAGACAGGACATAAATAAGCAGTCGATTATGGATCACAGCACTTCCAGAGCTGAATGGTCAGCCTGAAATGCTGGAGGCTTCAAATGATTGTTGGAGACTATGCATGGTTAAGGCCATCCTGAACTTTTTAAAGTATTTATGAAGCATCAGAGACTTATTTTCCCTGTAATAGGAAGATCAGGGAAGATGGGTTGCTTCATGTCTCAAGTATTGTCTTTATTTTTGAGACTATTTTCGTACAGTTGTCATACACAAGGTGCGCGTGCGTGCGTGTGTGTGTGTGTGTGTATTAAAACCTGTAGCTGAGTCTACATTGTTATGAGTCACTGTTTTCACACAATATCATGAATCTTCATTGTTAGTAAAATGGGCTGAAGAAAGGATTGATTTCGTGTAGATGTTTAATATTTCTTTATATCTCATTAAAAACAGTAATTTGGAGTTTTTACTCCTAATTCAGATGGAAAGCACAAGAAGCCACATGTTCATTAATATGCAACAAATGTTCTATTTATCTGTTCCTGAATATTTCTTATGAATTAAATAGAAAAAGCTTAAATTGTTTTTTTCTTTGAAATTTCAATAACAGGTTCATCAGCTAGTAGAGAATATAGATACATGGTGGCTGCGCTGTAATTTTTTTGTGTGTGTGCTTTGTTTCTACAAGAAAAAATGTGTTATTCCCATGGGTTCAGCTTTTCTGATGTCTTGCTGTTGATTTTCAGTCTCCCTGTAGACGGTGCATGATTTCATTCTTTCCCTCTTGGCCAACATTTTAGTCTTTAACTTGTAAGGTTTGGATTAAGATTTCAGGGTTAGTACTAGCATTTTGCTACATTTTCTCACTAGGGATAAAATATGCTATAAGGCACTACAAAAATGTAAACAATTCTATTATTAATTGAAAGTTATTTGACACTATATGAACTGACCAGCTTTCATTATTTTCAAAAGCTCTGTTTAAGTACTTTTTAAGAAAATTGCCAGGTTTGTATATAGAGATTCTCTCCTCGGGGATGAGTTATGCTTGCTCTTACCATTATTAAGTGGCTCTAGCCTAACCAAACTTTCAAAGCAGTAAATTTTGAGATATTTTGTGGTTGTCCTTCAGATTAAAACAACGAGGGTTGAAGTTAGTTTTTGAAGCGTGTTTCTATTCAGCATGTAGTCTGGTTGGAAGGAAGGCGGCGGCACATTCACTGTGTCACTAATTGGATCCTTGCTTTGTGAAATATTGGGATGTCTGATTTCCCCTATGGTGATGTCTGAAAACTTTATATGTACAAACAGTACCATTATTTCATAAGACTTTGATGTCCTCGTATCCATAACACTGACAATGAGAGGGATTTTTCATGGCTCCCTCCCTCCTTCCCTTCCTCCTTTCTCCTTCCTTCTTTTTCTTTTTCTTTCTTTCTTCCTCTTTATAACCCTAAAGCAACCTTCCATTTATTTCCTATCTTGGAGATAAAATTGACCAAAGAGTGGACATCCTCACCTGGTGGGATGTCTGTACAACATATTTGCATATCACACTGTTCAAACCCCTTAATTCCTCGCTAGGAAGATGAATTTAGTATGATGCACATGTTTCCACCCAATCTCTAGCAACTGGTCCCAAATCTGGTCGAGTAGTGAGCCTCAATAGATAGGCTTTCGTTCAGTGAAAATTTATTCAAGAATTTGGGTAGTTGGAACACTTGATATTTAAACAGGACTTAGGAATTCTGAACAGAATATGGAAGACTGCATCTTTTTACGTAGCCATGAGATGAAGGAATGAGATGAAGGAATCCTTTTTCTCAGGAGAGATGGCAAAGGCATATGCTGTTTCCAGAGTATCGTGGTATAAAAGCATTTGTGTCATTGTAATATGTCAAACTTAGGGAAATAGGATTAGCATAGGAAATTGAATTTATTTCATTGGAGTTCAGTTTTTCCCCCAATATTATTATATGGAAACTTTCTGATTTAATAGAAATGAAATTAGTCCATATTAGCAAGCATGATTGCTTGGTTTTATTTTTAATTTTATTAATTTGCATGTAGATAATGACTTTGTGAAGAACTTGTGTGTAAAAATTAAGATATTGGCTGTCAGTTAAATGCATTATTTTTATGTTTTTGGGTATAGTCTAGTTACTAATGATTTTTAAAATGCTTTTATAGAAAGTTTAATTTTTTTGTTTCTAAAAGTCAATATACAGTACAGAACTAATATAACTACAAAGAGCAGTATATTTATTTATGTGAGACATCATACCAGAACATACCAAACACCTTCATGAATAAGTGAGCCATGTAATATCTCCCAGAATTACATACATTATTTCTAAAATGTAGCAAAATAACTAGAGTTTACTTTTAGTGACCCCACCTCCCCACCTCCCGGTCTTCCCTTTCTCTCATCTTTGTCCTTATTTAGAGGATACTTTTCTCTTGAAATTGCATTTTACACATCACATTGAGTAACAAGCAACGATGTCAATGACCTCAGTAGCCATCAGCTGTCCTCTTCCTCTGCCTCTCTTCACTTCTACCTTCCTCCCTCTCTCCCTAGTCCCTTAATGTTCTCATTTTATTTCTGCTCCTTTTTCTTAACCAATATACTCTTTCCCAAACCTTATCCAGGAATTCTTTCATAGACCTATATCTCTCAAGATTGGCTGCTGAAATCTTACAGTAGAACTGAAACTAGTAAAGTTTCCAGTGAGAGATCAGTCCTGGCGGAATCCTAGCTGACCATTACTTTTCTGACTCCCCGGATAAAGCAGAGGAAAATCACCTTCAAACCACAGAGCTTTATGCTGTCAGATCTAATCCACGCTTCGGTCTGTACAAAGCAATTCTTCCAACCCATCTTTCGAAGAATGAAAATGCAAGAAAATACAAGAGAGTCTGAGTATATAAGCCTGTTTCAGTTGCGATTACAAGGGCCTACAAGATAGGTCATATCTGTTCTTAATATTCAATTGTCCCCTTTCCCCCAGTTTTAGTGCATTTTTTTAAAAGTAATATTCAAATGAATTGCTTATGGCTGTATAATGAAATAAGCATTTTGGTTTATGTGTTTTAAGTAACAGTTGTGCAAACTCTTCCTGTTTGCTGGGTGCTCCCTTTCAGTATTGTGTAAATGGGCAGAGTAAGTGGGGGAGAGGCAGTGGCTAAGAAAAGGGTGGGTAAGAGGAAAGCGCTCAGGGGAAGAGTGGCAGAGGGAGAATGCAACGCAAACATCTGCCCTGACACCTGTGATTGGGGACTCTGCTCTTATCTCAGGCCCTTGTCTCAGATTTTTAATTCAGAAATTGGGTTTCACTCCAGCTTCAAAGGTGACAACCATCCCTGGTAGCCCAAGCGTAAAAGAAAGCAGGAGTGCCACCCCTTTCCTCAGAAAAGAATATCCAGCTTGCCTCTCCTTGATAACACCTTGAAAAGGCCCTTATGGATACACTCTTTGGCAATTTAAAAACAGGAAATTGTGTAGATTATTCTAGCTGCTACTACTTATCTTGGTTATGTGCTGATTGTTCCTGGATCAAAACGATTTTTCATTTTAGATCTTGGTTGAATTTCAGAAGTATTTAATTATTTTTAGCATATGCGTACAGAAAGCCTGTCTTGTAACTATTGCGTGAAATAAACCTAATCTATGGTTTCATTTTTATCCTAAAAAAAAGTTGTGCCTTAACAATAGGGCATTGTATGTTAATAAGGGAAAACAAAATCTTTTTTTAACAGATGGGGAAAATAGGAACTTTTTGCCATTAAAATTTAAGTTCTTGTAATGTTTTTAATATTAGAGTTGGGGAAAATTCATTAAAGTTAAATAAAATTGATATAAAATTATTTTTGCTTAATTTAGCATTTACAACTAAAGTACAGTTTTGTAACTGGCATCTATCTTGATGTATATAGGTTTGAAATGATACCTTATCCTTTGGTTTTTTTAATTTGAATTAATAAAAGGCCAGGATAGATTACATTTTTTAAAATTTTTACTATTAAATCATTTTAGTGTGCTATTATATCTCTTCTAGTCCTGAGTCACTTTGGTTTTTAAAAACTATATATTTATTCATTGTGCCACATCAGTAATTTATTACTGTTCAAAAATACTGTATGTTGTATTACATAAACAGAACAGTTCCTAGGTAGGGGAGGGTTCTGATTAGCAGTTACTATGAGGGCAAGAAGAATTAAATCCTGTACTTCAAAAGGAGGTTTTGGTTTTATGAGATGCTGGTTGTGTAAGTTGTTGACTATTTCCTCAAAGCCTGGCAGGTGTTTGCATTGCACTTTTCCATTGGTAAATGCTTACAGTAAAGCTTATTCTTTTGTTTAATGATTTTTTACAGTTTGATGGTGAATTAATTCTGTGGGAAAGTGAAATACAGTTTTCCTTTGAGATAATATAAGCCAAACTTCCAGAAGTTAAGGATGATGAATAATATTAAAACATCTTGTTATACCTTGTGTTTGTAAGGGTTCCCAGAGTGTTATAATAAGGTAATCTGTGTAATTGCAAAAGCAGAAACTGATGCTTGATTATTAGAATGTTCTGTTAAAATTCCCTTTGAGGTGTATGTTACACACATAGTAAATTATTATTCAAGAAAGATCCTGTATTTTTTTAAAGAGGAACTATAGCATATCAGGTCATCATTAGATCAATTAGCCTATGAAGACTTCATCTCTCTCCCTGTGATGAAGCCTATCCTTCATTTATGTTGAGTTAAGGAGAGGAGTGTTTATGGGATATAATTTATGTGCAAAATGTGGGCTTCAGTTTACCTACTCGTGGCCTGCTGCTGGCTGGGGCGGCCCCAGCTGGCTTTCCAGCCGGCGGGAGGGAGCGCTCTGCACGGTGAATGGGCACCGCGTGGGGGGCTTTCCCCACTTGAGTGTGTTGCGCAAGCTGCACAGGGTAGGCAGGTGCATCTACACGGGGGTTGAGTTTACACTAAAACTACGAAATGGTGTTTCCGGTCTGTGTCCCTGCCTCTGCAAACTTCATTTCTTATGCTCACTTTCTGTCTCGTATAACGGGCTGTTGATGATGAGAGGAATTAAAATAGAAATGCCTTTGAATGCCCCTTCCCCTCACAGGGTTCAAGCCGTGGAGGAACTGGGCCGCTTCCTGGTGGCAAGCCAGGCTTAGGGGCCAGAGTTGTCTTTCCTTTGCTTGCTGGACCCCGCCTCACCCACGCCACCAAATTTAAGTGCCGGGGTGACAACTTCAGACTTCAGTCTCCACTAGGAAGTACAAAACTCTACCCGCCTCCCTGATTTTGGAGCAGGTGTTTTTTCATGTGCTTTTTGTTTCTGTTACCTATAACACTCGTGTATATGTGCTGTTGTAAACGTTTAAGGACGGGATTATGTATCTTGGTGAATTTCATGTCTCCACCTCAACCCCGGCAGCTAGCCCAATGTCTTGAACAAATTAGGTGCTTAATGTATGTTGAATGAAATTGAATAAAGGGTTACTCCTAGCATTAGCATTTCTCATGCCTCGGTTGTGTAAGCTGGTTGCTTGTTTTGTTTCCTCTGCAAATATTTATGATTATCACACATGCACACTAAATTATTTTTTGAAGTTGTGCTTTGGATACTACCCCTTGGCCAATTAGTTTTAGAAAATGTAATTGCCTTCAGTGAAATGATTATTCCAAACTCTGCCCCTGGAGTTACTTTGCCAAACAAATTTGAATTTTCTGAATAAATTGGTCATGTCTGATATGGTGTGTCTCATCTGCCTTTTTTTTTTTTTTTTACTTTGGTAAAATATAACAAATTTACCTTTTTAACCATTTTTAAGTATACAATTCAAGGGGCATCAAATACATTCACAATGTTGTGCAACTGTCACCACTATCCATCTGGGGAAGCCATTCTAAGGGGGTGCTTTCCTGTGTGGATTCCTATTCTCCAAGGAGGTGTTGGGACCTGGGGGAGCCAATTAAGGCTCTGTCACAATGTACAAGGCAGCCTTCACCAAGACCAGAGCATATCAACAATATGGACAGGGAGGCTTAGAATTTGCAATCATAAATCCAGTGTGCAAAAATGTAAATTCCTTTGTAACTGAGTGCAGTTAGGACATCCTGTTCTGGTTAATGGAGGGGAGAAACTGACTATACAAATGGACAATGGTTAGATCACTTAAAAATAGAACTTTCACCCACAACCTTCAGCAACCTTTGCTGAAAACCAACCGCAAATCTATTGTAAACATCCCAGGAAGCCAGTGTGCTATGTTAGACTTGCAGGAGGCCACTTTGCTCTCTCTATTGACAATCCAGGAAGCCTAACAATAACTTCTGTAACAATCAGCCCCAATTGGTAGGACTTAATAGCTGCCAGCTTCCCTAATTATTGTTCCTGCTTCTAGCTTAAGATCAAGCAGAGAAAGCCAAATATGCTCCTCTGACCAATCACATAGGGTAACCCCCTTCTTGTCAACCTTCCCGTAGCTCCCCAGGCCAACAGCCTCCAATAAGGGCACATCAGAAGCTTCCCTGTTTTCTACTGTAAAGCTTTCCCACTTCTCTGTCTGCCTTTGAGTCTCTGCCAAAATGCATGTGATGGTGGCCAGAGTAAATATCCTTTGCTTTGCTTTCTTCCTTTGGTCAGTCTTTATCTCCACACTTGCCAAATCAAGATAATACTGTCACTTCTGATACAGCACTGGGCTTGTTAGGGTCTACATGCTGCCACAGTCGAGAGTCTCCCCTTCTGCTTTCGGCTTCCTGTGGGGGACCAAGTTCCTAGAGGCTTCTATTACCATCTTGGCAGTGGGGATGGGCATCTGGTCTGAGTGCCATCTTCTGCCACAATCTGGTCTCTGCTGAGGCCACTGTGCCCACAGTCTTTGGATTTTGGCCTTTGTTCTTGATGCCTGAAGAGTCCTGATATCCCACTGTGGACTCTGGCTATCAGTTTGTGTCTATACTCCCTGATCTGACCAGGGCCCACCAGCCCTCTAAGCACTCTGTGCCCACTTGGAGGAGTGTGGGACTCTCCATGTCTCTCTCCTCACTTACTGGTATGTGAGTGACTGGAAGGCTGTTCTCAGGCTCATTTATCTATAGGGTTATTCGTTTCAGTTCCCTGCTGCCCAGAACTTTGGATCACACTTCCTCTGTCTGTGGTCTCACATTCACATGGGAGAAGCAGAAACTCTTCTTCCCAGCCTCTTTTGCCACCAGGACTCTGACATGTGAGTTAGATTGCAAATTTCACATGTGGCTAAGACCTCAAGAGCAGTGACACGAAGAAGGCAGTAATGGTGCAAAATAATTAAGTTGAGGGTGACAGTGAAATATTCTGCTTGTACAGTCAGCCCTGGCCAAGCTCTGGATGGCAGCGTCAGATGTACTGTGAGCAGTGAGCTAAGGCACCTGTGCTCAGTCACAGTGGCTCTAGGGTCTTTGCTGAAGGCCCCACAGTATATTTGGGGTATTTTTCCTGGCAGTTAGCCTTCAGCCCTGATCCTCTGCCCGCCCTGAGACTCTGGGGGCTCCCCATTATTTTTTAATAATCCCTCTTTAGGTTGAAACGTGCTAAGGTGCATTTATTTTTAGCTAAGGTCCCTATCAAACATTTCCTTGGCCATTGCTAACCTGTTATTCAGGGACTCTGTGGCCCCAACAAACAGGCCAGCTCGGATATGAATTGCTAAGGAGCTTCCAGGTTCTCAGGTTACATCCTGAAAGAGAGGGCACGTTGGGCAAAGCACTTAAGTTCAAAGAGAAACAGCTGCATAGTAGTTTAGAGATGGCCCAAACACAAGTCTACCGAGCTGGGGCAAGGTATAGCAAGGGACAGTCAGACTGACCTAGAGAACATATACTTCCTCCAGCTTCTCAGAAATACCTACTGGTGATTTTTGCGGGCACATAAAGTAGGGGTGCAGCTATGTTAATTGAGTCTCAAAGTACAGGATGGCAGCTCTTTGATCTGGAGAACTTAAGGAAATTCAGGTTGAAGAAGTGACTATCTTGAGTATTGCTATGAGCCAGCCACTCTTCTAGGCACTGGGCATCCTCCATCTCATTTAATTTTCTCTACAGTCCTCAAGAAGTAGTATCATTCCCCCATTGCATAGATAAGAAAATTGAGACATAGAGATATTAAGGTCAAAGTGATGTAGCTGATAAGTTTGGAACCATGACACAGAAATGTAGGAAAGATGAGGGAGATAATCAGAGTACCTGCTGGTCTTTCAGACTCGTGATATATTTTTAAGCTAAGAATAGGAACACTTTTAGTAAATAAAGGTCAAAATAAGGCTGCAAGGCAGATATACCTTCACCCCTTACCTGAAAGAAAAGTGAGAGAAGTGGGGCTTCCCTTATGAGTCAGCGAGGAGAGCATCTTCCCTGCAAAACTTATGTGCTCTTCCAATTATAGGGACTAGTGATTGCACAGCTTTGTCCACAGCTGTTCCCAAACAACTGCCAAAGCCCCACCTCGTCCCCAGCATGCAGCAGTGTTCCAGGGTGAGGCTAGCTGGGTTTTACTTCCTCCGACAGTGCTGTTCTATCTGGCTGGCTTCTGATAGCCTGCAAGGCTTTGGTCTTCTTAGGCGTCAACCTGTGCACATCCACGGGCCACGTAGAAACAGGTGGGAGGCACTGCTTCGTTGGTGGCAAATGCTTTTCTTGCGGGGAAAGTTGGCTGTTTTTGAGCAGTGATTTGCAAAGCGTAGCCCCCAGACCAGAGCATCAGGGTCACCTGGGAACTGAGGTATGCAAACTCTCAGGCTCCGCCCAGAACTACTGACTCACATGCAATAGGGTGAGGCCCAGCCATCTGTGTTCAAACACATTTTCCAGCTGCTGCCGATGTTTGCTCGTGTTTGAGAACATTGGAGTCAAGGTTAAATATAAATCCCTAAGTCATCTTTTTATCTTTAATATAACAGCTTCATTGAGATATAATCCATANCCCAGCCATCTGTGTTCAAACGCATTTTCCAGCTGCTGCCGGTGTTTGCTCGTGTTTGAGAACATTGGAGTCAAGGTTAAATATAAATCCCTAAGTCATCTTTTTATCTCTAATATAACAGCTTCATTGAGATATAATCCATATACCATACCAAATCACCCATTTAAAGCATATAATATAGGAGATTTTAGTATATTTACAGAGTTATGCAACCATCACCACAATCATTTTTAAAACACTACCATCACCCCCAAAGAAAGCTGTTCCCGTTAGCAGCCCCTCCCCCTTTTCCTTCCAGCTCCCATCCCTCTAAGCTCTAGGCAATTGCTAATCAGTTCAGTCTCTGTAGATGTACCTATTCTGAACATTTCATATAAATGAGATCATATAATATCTAATTTTTGTGACAAGCTTTTTTTCACTTAGCATAATGTTTCAAGAGTCATCCATGTTGTAGATGTATCAGTACTTCATTCCTTTTTATAGCTGAATAGTATTCCATTTTATGGAAATACCACATTTTATTTAACTATTCATCATCAGTTGATGCACATTTAGATTCTAATTGTTTTATTAAATCTCTGTGGTACAAGTTTCTTCCCTCCTTGTGTAAAATATCTGCATGTGAAAATTCTGTATTTACACACATTAGTAATTCTGAATTGTTATTTAGTACCAAGTGTATCATGAGCACTTATAAAGGTTCTAATTGCACAGAATAGATGTCCCCAATAGATTAGGGTTTATAAGACTCTTCTTAAAGCTACTGTTACTGTCACCAAATCAGAAACAAATTGAACATGCGGGATTTCGTATGGTGTCTGTTTTATGAGTTCCTCACTGCATCCATTAGCAGGGGCAGCCTCATGGGTGCTTGTGGCTGGTGTTCAGGACCAAGCTCTGGGTCCTGGTTCCAGTGCTTAGGCGAATAGTGCACATGAGACTTGTATGGGTATCATGACTCATGCCCCTTCCTTACATATCAGAAGTTCCTTAGAGATCATGGCACCAAATGTTTAACTCAAATAATGGAATAACATTATCCCTAATTTCTCTTTTCTGTAGCGTATCAACGGGGATTTAAAGCTTATGGGGTAGAGACATGTATGTGCCTTACAGGTGGACAGGCAATTCTGAACTAAGACATATACATCTGAGGGGGATACCAGATGTCAGGGACAAAGAAAGGACTCAGAGGACTTCCATCTCAACAATGCATGGACACTACAGGAAACCTAAATAAAGCCAGGCGAATGGTCTGTCTCCACAGGTTGAGATTATCCAACAGAAGAGACCACAAAAATATCCAACAGAAAAAATATTTCTTTCTAAGCAACAGATAATCAGGGTGCCTCCAGGGATTTATTGCTTATGGATGCAAAACTCGACTCAATGTGGTTCTGCATCTTGGAGACTTATGATCTTAGAAAGCACTGATGTAAAAGTCAAGGATCTTAAATAATCAAAATCATAATTGAAATTTTAATAATGCTCCTATTTGTTTTTATAAATAAATAATAAAGAATTCTACACCCTAGTAAAAGATAAGGAGCTAGACTGTTCTCTTGAAAATTGCTTCTAAATTTGAGTATTTTGAAATCACAGAAACACTTTAAATGCTTCAGCTCTTTAATAACTTCAAGGACTATTTGCTTCCCCCCCTTTTAACTCTTTTGGTTGGTTCTTATCAGGAATATTACTGCAGAATTTCCAGAACACTTTAACATGAATTCAAGTTTTCCTAAAGGAGAGATGACCTGTGAGTGCCAGCTACCTCTTGATATTTCA